TAGTAAATATCTAACCTTCAAGGGGTTTATAGATCGGATATTCTACTCATAAAACGTATGAAACTGTCTATACTTCACAATCACAAATGTGAAATTTTCTAATTAAAAACCAAAACAAAATTCTTTCTCACTCAATCCTCATGAGAACTGAACATTTTCGATGCATTCTGAACGATAATTATAAAAATGACAGAGGGTGACGTGGATTACTTATATTTTTGCATATTACAATTCATGAGAGAGCACAATTATGTCAAAATGTAAAGATATTTTTTTTTTACCTGTGAACTGACCATTCAAAATTGATACATATAATATCGCTTTTATATTTGAATAATATCAAGTTTACATGTTAATCATTGGTGCTTATATATTAAATATTTATACAGTGCATTCTGTATATTAGTACATCTGTTGTTAAACATTTGCTGTACTATTGAAATAAGTATCTGAAAACATAATCTCATTGTTATTTATCTTTTAAACCATTACAAGTTTATATACCACTTGCCCCTCACCGCTGTGGGTTCGAATCCCGACAGGGACTTTTGATTCATGTGAGGAAGTTATCCAGCTAGCTTACGGAACGTCGGTGGTTCTACTAAGGTGCCCGTTCGTGCCTGAAATAATGCACGGAACGGCACCTGAGGTCTTCCTCCACCAGTAAAGCTGGAACGTCGCGATATGACCTATACTGTGTCGATGTGACGTAAAACCCAAAAACAAACAAGTTTATACAATTTTTGCCTATGTTATGTTCAAACATACAAAATGCCGCATAATATTATAATGATTTTGATCGACAAGAAAGACCTACTTTTAATAACCCAACAAAAGATTTTGCAAATCTTATTGTTATTTTTTACAAAGCCTTGAATTAAGGATCAGAAGGGTATCATAATTACTTGTATTTGATTTTACTTTTAATTAGCACCATATCTTGATTATAATTAATATTAATCTATTTTATCACTTTGTATGTGTATAATACATGTGTAGACATCAGATCCCTTGGAGGAAATTATAATTTAAAGGCCCTTCCCGTCAAACATTGGATACATATGTACAGTTACTTTATTTATTTTCAAATAATTGTTATTACAAAACAGACTTTCAAATGTCATATCTGTTCGTAATTTATGTCCACATTCGAAGAAGTGGTAGAATGTTGATTTGCACCTTTGCACAACGTCTTCTCCACCCGTCGGTTGTTCGACCGATAGCTGGCATAAAACTATTTTGTCCTTATTAGTGCCTAAAAACTACTGCATAGATGATAACCATGACAAAATTAACCTAACTGACATTATATATGTTAAATCTATACATAGTTCTTAGCTGTTACATTCCTTGTTTTCTACGGTGTCCTTATCGTGCCATTTAGAATGTCGTCCGTCGCGTCTAAGGGTAGACACACGACAATGCGAAGTGACATCGCGACAATGCGAAGCGACACTCGACAACGCGAAGCGATATGCGACAATGCGAAGCGACGCTCGACAGTGTCAAACGATATGTCGCACTGTCGCCTAGAAATGTCGCGGTAAAAAAGGGCGACATTTAAGAAATGTCGCTTCGCGTTGTCGAGTGTCGCTTCGCATTGTCGAGCGTCGCTTCGCGTTGTCGCGATGTCACTTTGCGTTGTCGCGATGTCACTTCGCGTTGTCGCGATGTCACTTCGCGTTGTCGCATTGTCACTTCGCATTGTCGAGTGTCGAGGTTGGTAGAAGTGCATACCACGACACTCGACAATGCGAAACGACAACGCGACAATGCGATACGACGCTCGACAATGCGAAGTGACACTCGACATCGCGAAGCGACATTTTTAAAATGTCGAGTAAATGTCGCGTTATTTTTATGATTTTTACACCGCGACGCTCAACATTGCGAAGCGACACTCGACAATGCGAAGCGACACTCGACAACGCGAAGCGATACTCGACAACGCGAAGCGACACTCGACAATGCGAAGCGACATTTGGAATAATATCGTATCGCATTGTCGTGCGTCTACCGGTGCTTGGTCAGAATTTACTAACTCACCGACAAACGGTGCGATCATGGAAGGGGTCGCACTAAACTGCTGACGAATTAGCTGACGATAAAGAATATATAGGAAACTGCTGACCAGTTAAACAAAGAAGGATTATCGAAATCTGCTGACCAGTTAGATAAAGAAGGGAAAACAATGAAGGTGTCAAATTGCCGTTGGTGATATTACAGTCGATGTCGAGAAATACTTGATAAAATGTTTTTTCAAGATGTCAATATTACAAATGATACATATTAATTATAAAAAATTCAATTGATATATACTGTATATTTCTCAATTTATTTTGATATAATATTTTATTTAAGTACCTTAATGAATTTTCTTCTATGTGTTATATATTGGTTAAAATTTTAAAAATGTAGTCAAAATATGATGTACGAAAAATCATAATTTGTTTCAAGTATGTATAAAACTATGCATCATAGGTTAAAATATATACATGTACATATACGTAATGTATATTTTAACAAAATATAATTATTATGTCGTATTTAGTGCAAATATGAAATAAAGTGATTTCTGTTTCCTTATTTGTTGTTCGTATAATTGTATAAGTAATATTGAACAAAAATTAATAATGTGCTAATTGTTATAGTTAATAAGCTTTTATTACATTATAAACAACATGTTTCCACAGATATCCATTAAACTGATAATTTATCGAGATCGATATGCCCCAAGGTCATATTAAAATCGATTTCACACGCGACGTGTCATTCTTGATTTATCTATGACAAAATACAATAAACAGTCAAAAATATGTTATTAAAATGCTGACCATATTGTAGAATCTGCTGACCAGTTAGATATATAGAGAAAAATATATTTAAATGCTACGAAATTGTTACTCATTATGCAAATTTAATATATTTTATAAAATAATGTCGACATTTAATTAAGTAAAAACACTGCTGACCAATTTAATGTTAATTCAAATTGATTTAAGCCGTAAAACTCTCTTATTCTATATGGTCAGCAAATTTAACGCTCTTTACATTCAGGCGAGAAAATGCTGACCAGTTAAACATACAGTAGAATCTGCTGACCAGTTAGATATATAGGGAAACTGCTGACCAGTTAGATATATAGAGAAAAATATATTTTGTCGTGAAATTTTAATTCATTTTATAATGTACGAAATTCAATATATTGTATAAAATTTTGTCGACATTTAATTAAGTAAAAACACTGCTGACCAATTTAATGTTAATTCAAATTGATTTAAGCCGTAAAACTCTCTTATTCTATATGGTCAGCAAATTTAACGCTCTTTACATTCAGGCGAGAAAATGCTGACCAGTTAAACATATATAGTAGAATCTGCTGACCAGTTAGATATATAGGGAAACTGCTGACCAGTTAGATATATAGAGAAAAATATATTTTGCCGTGAAATTGTAATTCATTTTTATTATGTATGCAAATTCAATTTATTTTATAAAAATATGTCGACATTTAATTAAGTAAAAACACTGCTGACCAATTTAATGTTATTTCAAATTGATTTAAGCCGTAAAACTCTTCTTATTCTATATGGTTAGCAAATTTAACGCTCTTTACATTCAGGCGAGAAAATGCTGACCAGTTAAACATATACACATGTAGTAGAATCTGCTGACCAGTTAGATATATAGGGAAACTGCTGACCAGTTAGAAATATAGAAAAATATATATTTTGTCGTGAAATTTTAATTCATTTTATAATGTACGAAATTCAATATATTGTATAAAATTTTGTCGACATTTAATTAAGTTAAAACACTGCTGACTTATTTAATATTAATTCAAATTGCAATTATTGCTTTTGAAAATACATTTTTTTTCCGTTACAAGATTTTTCTATTGAAATATCACTAACAAGAGATTTTGATAAAACTCATAACATCATAATTCTTTATAAAACATTAATTCAAATTTTTGCATATCTTTAGAGGTATAAAACGCTGTTTAATATATCCTTTTAAAATCACGGATTTATATTACATGTAGTAATGTAAATCCGTGTTAAAATGTATGATATTATGGTACTTTAAATGTATATATTAATTTAGTTTATAAACATAGTCATATAAATGCAAAAATTAAAAATATAATTAAAAGAATAAAAGTAATTTCCCATCTTTTTATTACCCCCTACGGCGTGTTTATATAACTTCACACCTTCAATGTTTCCCTTCTTTGTGTAACTGGTCAGCTTTTCCGATAATCCTTCTTTATTTAACTGGTCAGCAGTTTCCTATATATCTATATCGTCAGCTAATTCGTCAGCAGTTTAGTGCGACCCCTTCCATGATCGCACCGTTTGTCGGTGAGTTAGTAAATTCTGACCAAGCACCGGTAGACGCACGACAATGCGATACGATATTATTCCAAATGTCGCTTCGCATTGTCGAGTGTCGCTTCGCGTTGTCGAGTATCGCTTCGCGTTGTCGAGTGTCGCTTCGCATTGTCGAGTGTCGCTTCGCAATGTTGAGCGTCGCGGTGTAAAAATCATAAAAATAACGCGACATTTACTCGACATTTTAAAAATGTCGCTTCGCGATGTCGAGTGTCACTTCGCATTTGTCGAGCGTCGTATCGCATTGTCGCGTTGTCGTTTCGCATTGTCGAGTGTCGTGGTATGCACTTCTACCAACCTCGACACTCGACAATGCGAAGTGACAATGCGACAACGCGAAGTGACATCGCGACAACGCGAAGTGACATCGCGACAACGCGAAGCGACGCTCGACAATGCGAAGCGACACTCGACAACGCGAAGCGACATTTCTTAAATGTCGCCCTTTTTTACCGCGACATTTCTAGGCGACAGTGCGACATATCGTTTGACACTGTCGAGCGTCGCTTCGCATTGTCGCATATCGCTTCGCGTTGTCGAGCGTCGCTTCGCATTCTCGCGATGTCACTTCGCATTGTCGTGTGTCTACCCTTAGACGCGACGGACGACATTCTAAATGGCACGATAAGGACACCGTAGTTTTCCCAATAATCCCTGGAGACTGCCCTGAATATATGTATTCATTGTTTATTAATTTATACGAACTCCACTAAATGTGTTCATACCAAAAGTACCATCCGCTGTTAACAGATTTCTCTCTCGTCCAAATGTACAAGCCACCCAAACCTTTCGCCCGGCGAGTAGTTTAACGATTGCTGATACGGAACTACAAGTACCTGCAGTTGTATCACCATTGTAGTTTGATGATCTTGCTATAAATGTTCCGTCTAAGACCAGTCCAATATGTGAATATTTTGTATATGCAGCACATACGTGGGCAGTTAATTGGTAAACACCTTCAACAGAAGCCGTAAAGATTCCTGTGGAACTGTCATATCCCGATCCCTCGTTTGTTATTACATTCTGAAACACTAGAACCTCGTTCGTGACATCAAGTTTCAAATCTTTGACATTGTGTGCATGAAATGCGACACTCGTCTGTACCATGTTTTCTGTAAAACACAATGTGACAGGAAAGATTGTCAGTATTTTAGAACGACAAAAATAGTAACTTGCTAGATTTTTTCCATGAGAAAGCATATTACATTGAAAAACACGATTCTTGTTCAATATAATATTGCATAATGTAAGTACTTACGAAATCATATAGAAAACAAATAAATAAATACAGCAAATATGAAACTTTAAATTCTGCAAGATAATTAGTTTCTCCATTACTCCCATTAACTATATTACATGAACCAAATGAGGGTTAAAATGTTATCAGGGGCACAGACATGCAAACATATACAACAAGCCGTCGACCAAGAAAGTTATTCAAATATGTAATTACTTTTAACCTCGACCAACACAATTTCCATTTTGTTTTCCATTTCTCTCGTAAAGTTGTTTTTCAGTTCTTCAAATTTGTTTTGTAAATGCTCTGAAATTAATAAGATATACATTTTATTGAAACATTACACACACACATAGTTCGAATTGATATATTTTAGTATGACGCATATTATTAATTAAAAGCATGCTCAACATAAATGAAAACAATTACATTTTTGGAAAATATTTAAGCACTGACACTTTTAACATTAATGTCACATTATGTCAATCCAAAGGATAAGATGAAAGTCAAATTGAGCTTACATTTTTGCATAGTTTCTTCAATTTTATCATTTACTTTGAATGAACACGATAAAAAACTTAGTTAACATGGCCCAATGACGTTTCTGTAAATTTCCATTGGTATTTACCTGTTATGTTCAAACGTGTGGGCTAGTATTTTAGGTAGATTTATATTTTATCCTAAATATTTCCCAATATCATAAAAGATATTCAAACTTCAACGCAATTTGTCATGAAATTTGGACCAGAAAAAACTAAATAGTTTGCATAAGCCTAAGAGAGGGAATAAATCCTTTTATGCTCAGCCCATCATATAAGTTAAGCCATTATAATTGGTAAAACATTTCTGTAGTTTCTCGAGCCAACAAAACACGATTGCGTTTCATAGAAGATTGCAAGTCTGAAATCAGTCTTAAAATAAACACTTTGACAATGTTGTGTTCCAAAGAAATGTCCAACTTATGATTCCTATATTATGACTCCTTTAATTTCTGAATTGCTATACAGATGAACATTGCGGTTTGAAGTGTATGTCATTTAATTTCTTAACTTTTCTTTGGACAGTGCATTTAGTTGAAGACTATAATCTTTGACTAAATATACAAATGTGTATTGAAACGGTCTTATGGCTTAAAGTTGGCCATACGTCCTAAGGGGGACGTTTTATGAAACGTAGCCAAGAATATTGACGAATCGGCAACTTGTTTGATAACAAATAAATATAAACAAAAGTTCTTTAATGGTGAAAAGACAATAAGTATACTTTATTTTAGTGCAATATATGGACGACGAACATATTGAAAAATACTTTATATTCATGACAATTATGAATTTTTAAAAACTGACAATTGATGAAAGGCGTTTTCGGGAGTTTTCATATAGACATATAGACAAAATAAAAAACTGTTCAATAGCATTTCATTAAACTTCGCATGTTGTTAGAATATAACAAAAATATTCTAAGCAAAGAAATGGGGGTCACCGCTCTCGTTTATTTATTAAAACTTGACTTGTTTTATTTAATTCAAGGGCAGATTTTCAATAAAGGTAAACAATTTATTATTTTTCTAATATACTTCCATTTGAGTCATTGTACAATATTTCAAGAACGAATAAAGAGCGGATGATTTTTTTGTTGTTGTAGACTTAGCTCTGTCCTTGAAAAAAACTCAAATAAGTAAAAAATTCTGGTTAAAAGGCAGATAACTAAAATGTGAGTTCTGTGACACCCAACATTTTTCGCTTACAAAATTTCTATCATATTTTAACAACATTCCAAGTTAAAAGAAGTTCTATTGCAGAGTTTTTATTCTGTCTAAATGCCTTTATGAGAACTCTCGAAACTATTCTGACGATTGTATTGATACCTTTCAAATATACATATTTGTTAGAAAACAAAATATACACACCTTCTTTGTTATATAAATCCTCTAGTTGTGTCACAACTTCTCCCGTTAGATTATTTCTAATTTCCTCAAACTTAATTTCAGTTTTGGCAGCTGTTTTCTCAATGTCCACAAGACTATTTAAAACAGATTCTTCAGTTTTCTTAATTTCTTTCTGCATTGTTTCTACTTTTATCTCTGTGCGTATCATTTTCTCAAGGAGTTTTTCTTCATACGAAAACTTAGAACAAGCAGGCTCAGATGCCAAAGAGACAGGAAGTTCTCTGAGATAGAGCATTGCAGAAAACGTTAAGAAAACAGAAGAAAGCATTGTGACTTTCTTTACATGCAATAATAAGTAGACTTATGAAAATGATTTCATTTTATTACTAAAAGCCTCCTGAAGCCAACAAACCCTGAAATAAACATGAAAAGGGACGTTCAGAAATGTGTAATCCAAAGCTGAAAAAATATGCAAGTAGTCATTTTGTAACATAATGTTTCTTTATAAAGTTCAGCCGACATTTTTTGAACTTCCGTTTACGTTTTCATACAGAACAATCATATTTATAAAGAAGGAAATAGATATATTTCAATCACAACAAAACAATGGCAATATCAATGACAAATCATCTACGAAGCAAAGCAATAATAGCTACGGACGACAACATATCAACGGCAACATAGCAATCACAACACAGTAATTGCAACTTCGGTTAAAATCAGCTATGTAACATAGCAGTTATGACAACGGACGACAACATGGCAACGGCATCTTAGCGATCACAACACAGTAATGACAACTTCGATTAAAATCAGCTATGTAACATAGCAGTTATGACAACGGACGACAACATATCAACGGCAACATAGCGATCACAACACAGTAATTGCAACTTCGATTAAAATCAGCTATGTAACATAGCAGTTATGACAACGGACGACAACATGGCAACGGCATCATAACGATCACAACAAAGTAATGATTACTTCGATGACAAAACATTAATGGAATATGGCAATAATGACATAGAGACGACAACTTGGCACCGGTAAAATCGTGATCACAATACAGTTATGTCTTGTACAAAATGATGAAAACATTTAGTAGTCATGACAAAGAGATGACAACATAATCATGGCCACATATCAGTTTAAAACAGGGCATCGACATGACAATGAATACAGCTTAGCAGTAAACGATAGCAATGTCATAATTACGGCCACTACAGGCATAATTACAAGTTTTAACATAGCAATGACATCATTGCATTAATAAAGTGGAGATTAGACAATAGAGATGTCAATATAGCTTTATATTAGGGATGCTAACATATCGATAAATATAAGCTATAGCAATAGCAGTATCAATATAGAAATAATAGAAAAAATAATTTTATTAAATTATAGCAATGGCAGCCAAGCAACTATTAATATTTTAGAGACTACCGATCAGTAAATATAAGAGGTATAGGCATCTGTCTTGAAATAAATCAAACACATGCTTGCATAAGGATATTGCCTTACAATGACAGGATCATAGTTATATTTTAGTTTATAAAAATTTATTTTTGTTGTTATCCTAACTCGGTTCAGAAATCAGTGCCACCATATCAAATAAAACATATTTCCTACATACATATAACGCCATGTTCAAAAGTATACAATACATATTGAAATATCTTATATAATGAGAAAAAATAGAAGAAATGCGTAAATACATGCTAGTATATATAAACCTTAAATTGAAAAAAACCTTAAAACTTTTGAACTATCCCTTTATTAACATTATTTCATTGAGTCAATGAGTTTCCATGGAGGGTTTGATATAGCTTTAATTAATAACTGAAATCAGATATATCCCGTGTTTGTCTTTTTTTATACTTAAGATACTTAGGAAACAGCAAAATAACATGCTTAAATGTAATTGCTTCATATTGACAGTTCAAGTATATGGTATAATAATTGGCAGTTATTCTATCATTCTGTATATGTATAAGTACGGAACGGAACCAAGAAATTACAGTTTATGATTAAAGACTATGAACTCGGTTAAAAATAGAACGAAAATTAAGATTTGTGACTGGTATAATAATTTTATAATCGTAAACAACTTAGAGAAAGTCTAATTGGCTTTCTTTGTTATTTGAAAAAGTGTGACAGAGTTAAACATTGTGAACTAGATACTCCGTGAAAAATATATTAACCTTAACATATTATAACATTATTGTACATACAGAAACTGTTGTTAAATGTCATACAATGTATAAACATTCAAAGTGGCACTTTTTCTAAGCTTTTTGTTTTTGCGTTGCTATTGTTTATAATGATTATTCTGAATGTGAACCATATACACATGTAATTAATGTTACACAGTGCCTTGTATTGAACATGAAATTTCAATACCATTATTGCTACTACTAAAGTTCCAGAGCATAATTGATCATTGAAATAGATAGCTATGTCAGGAATAGTTATGTCATATATAAACACACATACAAGTATGCATTTTAGTATGTGACAGATTACCTTGTATATAAAATGAAAGTGCAAGACGAGTGCTATATTTGTATGACACGAACAAGGGAAATAACAATGCCAATTACTGTGCAAACAGTAATCAAGATTTCTTTACCTTTAGCTTTGCTAAATAAACTGTAACATACCAGGAAAAGTCTTACAAGTTTAACAACAAGAAAAATAATAAGAAAAACAAATAAAATATTAATTACAATAATAATAATAAGAAAAAGAAGAAAAATAGAATAGTAAACATGGTACTAAACAAGTTTGAAAATCTGTAAGTGTTTAAGTGACAGTATGCTCATTTTTTTCATTGTCAAGTTGAGCTATTTTGAATATATACTTCAGAAGATTGACTCTTACCAATAAAATATTTTAGATACAAATCGGCCTAAAAGTAAAAAGACTGCCGCACTCTTTATTAATTGAACGTTACAGGTAAAGTCAGATGGAGATTTAATTTCTTTGTGCCACGGGACTTACCTATCGTTCACTCGAACTAAATTATAAAATTGAAAAACAATTATAGCAAATTCTACTATCGAAGTCTTTATTGATAAATATTGCTAATTTAAGTTTGTCTTCCAATTTTTTACTGAATGAGAGTTAATCAATTCTGAAGTCTTTTTATAACGTAGTACTTGTTGATATATCGTTTCCTAATTGAACTATAAAAATTGCCTTCAAAATTCGCGTAATTCATCTTCCCGTTTATAACATGCGGGTACATCATCTTTCGCTTAAGGAAATGAAACAATGTTACTGAATCTACCTGTTTTAAGACTTAAATGGTGAACTGAAAGTCTATAACTAGTTAAAGTCGACAAATATGTCCTTATATTAACATTTTGCAGATAATAGTTATATTCAGATTATGCCAATACATGTACATTTCAAGATATTACTCGTTCATTCATGAATAAAAGCATTTAAAATTCCTTTATATTTATTTATTTATTAAAGTCCCAATAATACGTAATAATATGTAATAGAGGGCGGGTCATCCCTCTCATACCTTACAATATTTATACATTTATATTACATTGTAATATAAGATAGTGTAAGATAAGATTTCACAATATTTCCGTTAAGTATCACCCGTAGTTTCTTTTTGTGGGTTTTTTATTCATTTATTTTTTTTAAATTTTATTTTTTTCGATTTTTGCTCCGACAAAATGGTTTAGTGTCACAGTGATTCATACCATTTTAATCCATTCAATATAAACAAATAAAACAAATGTTTAATGACTATCGTACATTAAATATGAGCGGCATAATTCAGCTGATAGCTTGCATATCTTTCCATTTAATGGCTTCCCTTGCGAATTCTGTAAAGTATACATAAGGCAATAAATTGTAATACACTAAATAAATTTGCTTGATAAATATGTAACAATTTTACACTTCTGTCAAAAAAATGGGAACATTTCTGACAAATTTCAATTAAATAATTGGCGTTTAAGAGTTGCAATATACTTAGTTTAAATCTGTATTTGCATATTCCAAGACAAACTAAATTAAATTACTCCAAACGAAACACTTTTAAATTCAAAACAATTGCAATAAAAGGACCTTTACATATTTACTGGTTTTGGTATATTGTTGATATTATAGGAAGCGTTTAATATAAAACTCTTTCCTTATTCAAGAGCAATTCAATTTGATTTAGATTTTAAACCTCACCACTTGAGGTGAAAATAGTAAATATTTGAAAATTTAAAATCCTATGTCGAGTCAAAGAGATCTAACCAAATTGCCTGTGAACGCTTGTTATTCAATATACATGAATGTTAATGACAATAATTATATTCCCGACTCCTTTGTGTCGAGATTGGTGCAAATATGATTTTTACGGATCTCTATTACAAGTTTAAAGAACATTCTATAATGTTATCACCTTGGACTTGACAAATGATGATGACGACGATGATGATGATGATGATGATGTTGATTAAAACATTACGCTTTTGAATTGTATTCTATTGTTACATACTATGTACATGTGTATTTTCAAGAAATAAAACAAAGGAAATCAAACAAAAATTATCATGTATTTACTTACTTTAGTCTTAAAGAAAGATTAAATGATTAATGGATATCTAGTTTCGTGATGTGTAAATGGAAATTATCAAGATATATCAATTAACGAGATATATTAATATGTCTGCAGACTTGTGAACATGATATGTCAATAAATCTGTTAAATGATATACAACATTTCTTCTTGTATATTCTATCTTTTATCCTTTTTACAATCAGCATGCATGCTTCCTACAACAACTGCTGACACGCCTTAACAATGTTAAAAATGGGCACAAGTGGTTCAGGTATACAGACCGTTGTGGAATACAAACATGAGTACAACAATACATAAATGTACATGTTTATTCGATCTTAGCATGATTATTTGTTCAACAATGCAACTTAGTTGTTAATTTTTTGTTTAAGTAAATTCGTATTTTCAATTGAGCATGCGCACAACATTGTTGAACATTCTAAGACTAATGATTTTAGGCTGTAAATGAGATTCATTAACTATCATAGTAGTTTTACTCAGAAATACATGTATTTATTGACAACTAATGTTACATAAGTTTTAGAATATATTGACAATAGTATAATGTCAGTCTTTGGATATTATGTACATTTCATTTCTTCAACATAAACGTTAGAGGAGAACGGATAAGGTTGAACTCAAACCAATGTTTGTTATTTACAGTAAGTTGAAAGAAAACTATTTGTGCATTATTTCCATAATTCAATTGATTCCAGCAATAATTTGTTCTTTTTCGTAGAACGATCTATGACATCTCAACCCCTTGTCAAGTATTTTGGTCTAGCTGACTTACTTGCTTTTTGCTTGAGAAGTTTTGCTGTAATACAGTACATTCTGCTGTGCTTTTGCATTTGAAAACATTTTAGAATGAATATTCTACGCCATCCAGTGATTATTATGGTACTGTCATGACACCAAATATTGATTTACACTAACGCGTCACATTAAAGGTTCCATAACCGCGATATGAACATATCTGCAGATGTTTCAAAATCTTACTAGTTCATGTTAAATGTTAAATTCTGCTTAAGTCGGTGCTAGGTACCGGTAGATTGCAATTACCACTACCGTCCATGAACCGGCGCAATCAAAGCAGGTCTGCACCATTTTCAATTTTGTTGTGTTGTGCTTTCTTTTGAGATTCGTTTTTTTTTCTTCTTTTTTCTCAATAATACTGTATGCTTTTAAAGTCATTACCAGATGTTATACAACAGATGACCTCCATTCGTATTTGGTATCATTCTATGAAACTTTATATACGAACCGGTCAATGCATAGTCTGGTTTACAGAAATTTATTCGAAATATCTGGCTGACGTTACCTTTCTATATCAAAGATCATTTGGCTGTTTGTTTTATACTGATATTCTGAGCTCATGGGTGAGAATTAATAACATTTTAACGCCTGGAAAGACATGCCTTTTTTCAAATTGTAGAAAAAAGGTGCAACAAGTTTTATTATACAACGATGAAACATAAGGACGAATAAAATATTTTTCGATAAATGACTTTGGAGCGATAACAAATTTACAATGTATAAAATTATTTTCGTTGTAGTTACCACGTGTCTGATTATTTGGTACTTCGACAATTTTTAGTTCATTTTTTACAATTTGAAAGTCGATTTTAAACATTTTTTTTCTCTGGCTAGAATTAAGCAAATGTTTATTTCAAACAAACAGCTATTTGTAAGTGATATACACCCATAAACATGATGAAAATGATGTTGCAATGCATGTTGTAAATTACAATCATATTATATCAAAAGGTAGGGATACAATATTAGAAATGAAAATCATATGCACAGATATGCACAATTCAAGGTTGTGAGAATTAAATAATTTTTCACCCAAATTCATATCAATAAATTGCAATCGTCTAGACATTGCCCTACTGTCATACAATTACTTCGGACATGTTCTTGATAAACTGAACTGCCAGCGTAATTGTAAGGAATGCATTTATTGTCTGATAATTGAGGTGATAGTTGTTTTGTCTGGCAATCAATAGTGTGTGGCAGGGCATGCATCAAAATGAAGTATATGTTATAATAGATAGTGTGTAAAACAGCCTATAAAATTCAACTGCCATAAGATTACAGTAAATCATAGTTACCTTCAGACTTCTGTTGTTTTGATATATTGGATTATAAAATGTTGTAATACTTGCTTCAAGGTTGATCATGTAGTAATAGTGGTAGGTAGACTTATTTGTTGTCTGGTAAATATCTGGTGTAGTAAATAACTAACTTTCAAGGGGTTTATAGATCGGGTATTCTACTCATAAAACGTATGAAACTGTCTATACTTCACAATCACAAATGTGAAATTTTCTAATTAAAAACCAAAACAAAATTCCTTCTCACTCAATCCTCATGAGAGCTATTGTCACCAGAAATATTTGCTTAAATCATTTTCAACGTACTTTGTGTCTTAAGGCTCAGAAGAACTCTGGCTCAGAAAAAGCTCTTAAATTATACACACTAATTTTGAAAATATTATTTCAATGTCATTTCGAAGGAAGCTCTTGTATATAAGACAAGACATTGGCAATAACGCATCTGGATTGTTCTTATATCATTAAATGATAATAAATAAATAACCAATCAACAACGTTAAAAATATTGTAGGCTGGGCTAATAATAAAGTACTAGATGATTAATAAAAAACATGCATTGAATTACGCTTGTCACAGCCAAAACGCCTTGCAAGATATTGTGGTGCAATAAAGCTACACAGTTTATTGTGGTATATTGTGTTAGATCTTAAATACATTTCGCCATTATCAAATGTTATGTATAGTATTTATCAAAGAAACAAAATTAGTAGTGTCGGTGTTTTACTGACGCTTCTCTGTTCCACTTTTTGGTATCACAAGAGTAGATTGTTTAAAGTGGCATTATGCCAATAATTTTGCTGACAAGAAAAGTTGCATTATTATTAATATATTTCGAGAGATTGACTATTTTATTGGTGATTGACAAAACGTTGACAATTTAAAAAAGTTAATGATAGAATATTAAAAACTACTAAAATTCTAGAAATGTCTGCCCCACTCTTCTTAGAAACTGAACGTTGCCGATGCAGTTTGAACGATGATTATAGAAATATCAGTGGGTGACGTGGATTACTTATATTTTTGCATATTACAATTTAAGAGAAAGCACAATTATGGCAAAATGTAAAGATATTTTTTCTTATAACTGTGAACTGACCATTCAAAATTCATGGATATAATATCACTTTAATATCTGAATAATATCAAGTTTACATGTTACGCATTGGTGCTTATATATTTAATGTTTATACAGTGCATTCTGTATAATTGTACATCTGTTGTTAAACATTTGCTGTACTATTGTAGAAGTAAGTATCTGAAAACATAATCTCATTGATATTTATCTTTCAAACCATTACAAGTTTATACAATTTTTGCCTATGTTATGTTCAAACATACAAAATGCCGCATAATATTAAAATGATTTTGATCGACAAGAAAGACCTACTTTTTATAACCAAACAATGGATTTTGCAAATTTTATTGTTATTTTTCACAAAGCCTTGAATTAAGCATCAGAAGGGTATCATAATTACTTGTATTTTATTTTACTTAAATTAGGACCATATATTGATTAAAATTAACATTAATCTATTTCTATCACTTTGTATGAGTATAATACATGTGTAGACATCAGATCCCTTGGAGGAAATTATAATTTAAAGGCCCTTCCTGTCAAACTTTGGATACATATGTACAGTTACTTTATTTATTTTCAAATAATTGTTATTACAAAACAAACTTTCAAGTGTCATATTTGTTCTAATTTATGTCCTCATTCGAAGAAGTGGTTGGATATTGTTTTGCACTTTTGCAGAGCGTCTTCTCTATCCATTGGTTGTACGACCGATAGCTGGCTTAGAACTAAATTGTATTATTTCTTATTAGCGTCTAAATAATACTATTTAGATGATAACAGTGACAAAATAAACCTAACTGACATTATATATGTTAAATATATGCATAGTTCTTAGTTAGTTTCCTGTTATATTCATTGTTTTGCCAATAACCGCCCTAGATATGTATTCGTTGTCAATTAATTTATACGAACTCCACTAAATGTGTTCATACCAAAAGTATTATCCGCTGTTAACAGATTTCTCTCTTGTCCTAGTGTACATGCCACCCAAACCTTTCTCCCAGCAATTAGTTTAACGATTGCTGATACGAAACTACAAGTACCTGCAGACGTATCACCATTGTAGTTTGCCGATTTTGCTATAAATGCCCCGTCTAAGACCAGTCCAATATGTGAATATTTTGTATATTCAGCACATACGTGGGCAGTTAATTGGTAAACACCTTCAACAGAAGCCGTAAAGATTCCTGTTGAACTGTCATATCCCGATCCCTCGTTTGTTATTACATTCTGAAACACTAGAACCTCGTTCGTGACATCAAGTTTAAAATCTTTCACATTGTGTGCATAAAATGCGACACTCGTCTGTACCATGTTTTCTGTAAAACACAATGTGACAGGAAAGATTGTCAGTATTTTAGAACGACAAAAATAGTAACTTGCTAGATTTTTTCCATGAGAAAGCATGTTACATTGAAAAACACAATTCTTGTTCAATATAATATTGCATAATGTAAGTACTTACAAAATCATATAGAAAACAAATAAATAAATACAGCAAATATGAAACTTTAAATTCTGCAAGATAATTAGTTTCTCCATTACTCCCATTAACTATATTACATGAACCAAATGAGGGTTAAAATGTTATCAGGGACACAGACATGCAAACATATACAACAAGCCGTCGACCAAGAAAGTTATTCAAATATGTAATTACTTTTAACCTCGACCAACACACTTTCCATTTTGTTTTCCATTTCTCTCGTAAAGTTGTTTTTCAGTTCTTCAAATTTGTTTTGTAAATGCTCTGAAATTAATAAGATATACATTTTATTGAAACATTATACACACATATAGTTCGAATTGATATATTTTTAGTATGACGCATATTATTAATTAAAAGTATGCTCAACATAAATGACAACAATTACATTTTTGGAAAATATTTTAGCACTGACACTTTTAACATTAATGTGACATTATGTCAATCCAAGGGATCAGATGAAAGTCAAATTTAGCTTACATTTTTGCATAGTTTCTTCAATTTTATAATTTACTTTGAATGAACGATAAAAAAAACTTAAGTTAACATGGCCCAATGACGTTTCTGTTAATTTCCATCGGTATTTACCCGTTATGTTCAAAAGTGTGGGCTAGTATTTGAGGTAGATTTATATTTTATCCTTAATATTTCCCACTATCATAAAAGATATTCAAACTTCAACACAATTTCTCATAAAATTTGGACCAGAAAAAACAAAATAGTTTGCAAAAGCCTATGAGAGTGAATAAATCATTTTATGCTCAGCCCATCATAGAAGTTAAGCCATTATAATTGGTAAAACATGTCTGTTTCTCGAGCCAACAAAACACGATTGCGTTTCATAGAAGATTGCAAGTCTGAAATCAGTCTTAAAATAAACACTTTGACAATTTTGTGTTCCAAAGAAATGTCCTAACTTATGATTCCTATGTTATGACTCCTTTAATTTCTGAATTGCGATACAGATGAACATTGCGGTTTGAAGTGTATGTCATTTAATTTCTTAACTTTTCTTTGGACAGTGCATTTAGTTGAAGACTATAATCTTTGACTAAAGATACAAATGTGTATTGAAACGGTCTTATGGCTTAAAGTTGGTCATACGTCTTAAGGGGGACGTTTTATGAAACGTAGCCAAGAATATTGACGAATCGGCTACTTGTTTGATAACAAATAAATATAGACAAAAGTTTTTAATGGTGAAAAGACAATAAGTATACTTTATTTTAGTGCAATATATGGACGACGAACATAATCAAAAATAAATTATATTTATGACAAACATAAATTTTTAAAAACTGACAATTGATGAAAGACGTTTTCAGAGGTTTTCATATAGACATATAGACAAAATAAAAAAACTGTTCAATAGCATTTCATTAAACTTGGCATGTTGTTAGAATATAACAGAAATATTCTAAGCAAAGAAATGGGGGTCACCGCTCTCGTGTTTAGTTATTTCTTTAAAACTTGACTTGTTTTGTTTAATTCAAGGGCAGATTTTCAATAAAGGTTAACAATGTATTATTCATTCTTTTTTCTTATATACTTCCATTTGAGTCATTGTGCAATATTTCAAGAACGAATAAAGAGCGGATGAATTTTTTTTTGTTGCTGTAGACTTAGCTCTGCCCTTTAAAAAAACTCAAATAAGTAAATAATTCTGATTAAAGGGCAGATAACTAAAATGTTAGTTCTGTGACACCCAACATTTTTCGCTTACAAAATTTCTATCATATTTTAACAACATTACAAGTTAAAAGAAGCTCTATTGCAGAGTTTTTATTCTGTCTAAATGTTTTTATGAGAACTCTCGAAACTATTATGACGATTGTGTTGATACCTTACAAACATACATATTTAAAGAAAACAAAATATACACACCTTCTTTGTTATATAAATCCTCTAGTTGTGTCACAACCTCTCCCGTTAGGTTATTTCTAATTTCCTCAAACTTGATTTCAGTTTTGGCAGCTGTTTTCTCAATGTCCACAAGAGTATTTAAAACCGATTCTTCAGTTTTCTTAATTTCTTTCTGCATTGTTTCTACTTTTATCTCTGTGCGTATCATTTTCTCAAGGAGTTTTTCTTCATACGAAAACTTAGAACAAGCAGGCTCAGATGCCAAAGAGACAGGAACTTCACTGAGATAAATCATTGCAGAAAATGTTAAGAAAACAGAAGAAAACATTGTGCCTTTCTTTACGTGCAATGATAAGTAGACTTATGAAAAAGATTTCATTTTATTACTAAAAGCCTCTTGAAGCCAACAAACCCTGAAGTAAACATGTAAAGGGACGTTCAGAAATGTGTAATCCAAAGCTGAAAAAATATGCAAGTAGTCATTTTGTAACATAATGTTTCTTTATAAAGTTCAGCCGACATTTTTTGAACTTCCGTTTACGTTTTCATACAGAACAATCATATCTATAAAGAAGAAGATATATATATATTTCAATCACAACAAAGCAATGGCAATATCAATGACAAATCATCTACGAAGCGACATCTACGACAACATATCAACGGCAACATAGCGATCACAACACAGTTATTGCAACTTCGATGACAAAACATCAATGGAATATGGTAATAATGACATAGAGACGACAACTTGGTACCGGTAAAATCGTGATCACAATACAGTTATGTCTTGTACAAAATGATGAAAACATTAGTTGTCATGACAAAGAGATGACAACATAATCATGGCCACATATCACTTTAAACAGGGCATCAACATGAAAATGATTACAGCTTAGCAGTAAACGATAGAAATGTCATAATAACGGCCACTACAGTCATAATTACAAGTTTTAACATAGCAATGCATAGCATAACACCATTGCATTGATAAAGTGGAGATTAGACAATAGAGATGTCAATATAGCTTTATATTAGGGATGCCATCATATCGATAAATTTAAGTTATAACAATAGCAGTATCAATTTAGAAAAAAATACTTTTATTAAATTATAGCAATGGCAGCCAAGCAACTATTAATATTTTAGAGACTACCCATCAGTAAATATAAGAGGTATAGGCATCTGTCTAGAAATAAGTCAAACACATATTTACATAAGTAGATTGCCTTACAAGGGCAGAATAATATTTATATCTAGTATATAAATATTTATTATTGTTATTATCCTAACTCGTTTCAGGAATCAGTGCCACCAAATCCAAAAAAGAACATATTTCCTGCCTACATATAACGCTATGTTCAAAAGTACACAATACATATTGAAATATCTAAGATAATGAGACAAAATAGAAGAAATGCGTAAATACATGCTAGTATATATAAACCTTAAAGTGAAAGAAGCGTTAAAACTTTTGAACTATCCCTTTATTAACATTATTTCATTGAGTCAAAGAGTTTCCATGGAGGGTTTGATATAGCTTTAATTAATAACTGAAACCAGATATATCACGTGTTTGTCTTTTTTATACTTAAGATACTTAGGAAACAGCAAAATAACATGCTTAAATGTAATTGCTTCATATTGACAGTTCAAGTATATGGTATAATAATTGGCAGTTATTCTTTCATTTTGTATATGTATAAGTACGGAACGGAACCAAGAAATTACAGTTTATGATTAAAAACTATGAACTCGGTTTAAAATAGAACGAAAATTAAGATTTGTGACTGGTATAATAATTATATAATCGTAAACAACTTAGAGAAAGTCTAATTGGCTTTCTTTGTTATCTAAAAAAAGTGTGACAGAGTTAAACATTGTGAACTAGATACTCCGTGAAAAATACATTAACCTTTACATATTATAACATTATTGTACATACTGAAACTGTTATTAAATGTCATACAATGTATAAACATTCAAAGTGGCACTTTTTTCTAAGCTTTTTTTGCGTTGCTATTGTTTATAATAATTATTCTGAATGTTAACCATATACACATGTAACTAATGTTACACAGTGCCTTGTATTGAACATGAAATTTCAATACCATTATTGCTACTACTAAAGTTCCAGAGCATAATTGATCATTGAAATCGATAGCTATGTCAGGTATAGTTATGTCAGATATAAACACACATACAAATATGCATTTTAGTAAGTAACAGATAACCTTGTATAGAAAATGAAAGTACAAGACGAGTGCTATATTTGTATGACACGAACAAGGGAAATAACAATGCCAATTACTGTGCAAACAATAATCAAGATTTGTTCACCTTTAGCTTTTGCTAAATAAACTGTAACACACAAGGAAAATTCTTACAAGTTTAACAACAAGATTTAACAATAAAAATAATAAGAAAAATAAAATATTAATGACAATAATAATAAGAAGAAGAAGAAAAAAAGAACAGTGAACATGATAAATTTAAATGGTACTAAACAAGTTTGAAAATAGTATGATTTTCTGTAAGTGTTAAAGTGCCATTATGCTCATTTTTCATTGTCAAGTTGTGCTATTTTGTATATATACTTCAGAAGATTGACTCTTACCAATAAAATATTTTAGATACAAATCTGCCTAAAATGTAAAAAGACTGCCTCACTCTTTATTCATTGAACGTTACAGGTAAAGTCAGATGGAGATTTAATTTCTTTGTGCCACGGGACTTACTTATCGTTCACTCGAACTAAATTATAAAATTGAAAAGAATTATAGCAAATTCTACTATCGAAGTCTTTATTGATAAATATTGCTAATTTAAAATTGTCTTCCGATTTTTACTGAATGAGAGTTAATCAATTCTGAAGTCTTTTTATTACGTACTACAGTAAACTTCACGTATAGCGAACACGGTTATAGCGAACTTCCGGTTATATGGAACAATTTATTGTAGTGCGAATTTTGCCCTTCTTTATTTAATATAAAAATATACGGTCATAACGAACATGGTTATAAGAAATTATCTCTTATAAGGAACTCATTTCTTTGTCCCAATTTAGTTAGTACAGAAAATAACACTTTTATAACAAACTCAAAAATATCGGCTATCTGTAAATAGATGCCACATTTTCAACTTTCGTTTTCATTGGCACGGATTAAACCTCGGCCGAATGTAACGTTTATTGTTGTATGTACTTCAATACATCTATGAAAATGAATAAAATAATTATGATCATTTATGATCGTTTTTCAACATAATCACGCATGCTTGCAAGCCTAATCCATTGAAAACTACAAAGTTCGCTTGATTGAAATGGAAAGAAATCTATATCTTACATAAGTAAAAGTCACCCTTAAAATATATAAGAAGATATTCAATATTAAAGGAAGAAAAATGGAAAATCTGGTTTATTCTTAATCATGGAAAGAAAACGAAAAGCACTGAGTTTAGAAACAAAATATGATATTTTATGAGACATTGAGAAAGGGAATAAAACTAAAACTGAAATAGCCAAGGATTTTCAAATTCCTAAAAGTACGCCCTCGGGTATTATGTCTATAAATTTTAAAGTAATAAATGACTAATTTCTTCTTAATTAAATGCTTTTCAAAATGGCGGACGATGGTAAACAATCATTTCGTTATATTTAAATTTGTTCGCTATAAAAACTCGTGAAACAAGGAACTAATTCGCTATATGCTTACAAGGAACTCCGGATATAGAAACAGATTTTGAATGTCCCAATGAGTTCGTTATAAGCGGTGTTTACTGTATTTGTAGATATATCGTTTCCTAATTGAATTATAAAAAATTGCCTTCAAAATACCCGAAATTCATTCTCCCGTTTATAACATGCGGTACATCATCTGTCGCTTAAGGAAATGATACACTGTTACTCAATCTACCTGTTTCAAGACTTAAATGGTGAGCTGAAAGTCTTTAACTAGTTAAAGCCGTCAAATATGTCCTTATATTAACATTTTGCAGATAATAGTTATATTCAGATTATGCAAATTCATGTACACTTCAAGATATTACTCGTGATGAAATATTTAAACAACCAGTTATTCATGAATAGAAACGTTTAAAATTCCTTTTTATTTATTTATTTTTTCAGGTCCCGACTGGGTTATCCGTTATTCACCCCGTAATAATATGTATTAGAGGGCAGGGTCATCCCTCTCATACCTTACAATATTTATACATGTATATCACATTGTAATATAAGATAATGTAAGATAAGATTCCACAATATTCCGTTAAGTATCAGCCGTAGTTTTTGTTGTTGTTGTTATTCCTTTTTTCCGATTTTTGCTCCGACAATATGGTTTAGTGTCACAATAAAGAATTTTGTGTGATTCATACAATTTAATATAAACAAATAAAACAAATGTTTTATGACTATATAACGTTAAATATGAGCGCATAATTCGGCTAATAGCTTGCATACCTCTGCATGTAATGGCTTCGCTTGCGAATTCAGTAAAGTATACATAAAGCAATAAATTATTATACACTAAATTTTGCTTGATAAACATGTATCAATTTTATACTTTTGTCAATAAAAATTGGGAACATTTCTGACAAATAATTGGCGTTTAAGAGTTGCAATATATTTAGTTCAAATCTGTATTTGCATATTCCAAGAAAACTCCAAACAAAATACTTTAAATTCTAAACAATTGCAATAAGTGGTGATATTTACCTTTACATTTAACAGATTTTGGTAAATTATGATGATGTTTAGGATTAAAAACATTACGCCTTTGAAATGTATTCTATTGTTACATATAATGTATTTTCCAGAAATAAAACAAAGAATATCAAACAAACATTATCTGTATTTACTTACTTTAGTCTTAAAGAAAGATTAAATGATTAATGGATATCTAGTTTTGTGATGTGTAAATGGAAATTATCAAGATATATCAAATAAAGAGATATATTAATATGTCTGCAGACTTGATATGTCAATAAATCTGTTTAATGATACACAACATTTCTTCTTGTATATTTTATATTTTTATCCTTTTTACAATCAGCATGCATGCTTCCTACAACAACTGCTGACACGCCTTAACAATGTTAAAAATGGACACAAGTGGTTCAGGTATACAGACTGTTGTGGAATACAAACATAAGTACAATAATACATAAATGTACATGTTTATTCGATCTTAGCATGATTATTTGTTCCACAATGCAACTTAGTTGTTAATTTTTCGTTTAAGTAATTCGTATTTTGAATTGAGCATGCGCACAACATTGTTGAACATTCTAATGATTTTAGGCTGTAAATGAGATTCATTAACTATCATAGTAGTTTTACTCAGGAATACATGTATTTATTGACAACTAATGTTAAATAAGTTTTAGAATATATTGATAA